AGACTTTTTTGACTCCCTATGGGAGGCCTCCACCACTCTGAGTGGATGGGGGGGTGGGTTAGGGGAGAGGTGGGGGGGAGAGTGGGGTGGGAACTAGGATTGGTATGTAAAATAAAAAAAATGTTTTAAAAAATAAAAAGAAACACACCCCCAAAGATTCAATAAAGAAGTTTAAAAAACGATAGTTCTTGGAAAGAAAAGAAAAAAGAAAAAAGAAAAAGAAACTAAGTGCAAACAGTTAAGCTTTCTCTATATAAAGTGACTTCTGCAATCACTGTAAAAGCTACCTGTAACAAGAATGGAGTTTATCTTTGATTTGGCTGTTCTGGTAGCATCTAACTACACAAACAATGTGCTGTAAATTATTTTACATTCAAGTGCAGTTCTGGAAATTTTTTAATGACTTAATTGATTTTTCTGTATATTTTATTTTGATGCATAAAGATCTTGGAGCTAAAATCCACCACAGAATATGGTCAGCAATGTATGAAGGAAAAGCTAGCTTTTAAAATGTCTGGTGGATTTTTCAGAACTTCCTAGGTCTCACTTTTCCTACCTAGTGGCCTGTTCTAACTTGATACTGCTATTGGAAGAAGGCCACTGGCAGCACAATTTCCATTCTCAAAAAATGACAGCAGTTTTAAGAGACTGTGGGATCCTCCCTGGCCAGCTACAGCTTTTCTAACAGCACTTCGAACTTCATTTCAAGCAGGATTTATTATGCTGAATGAATTCTTTTAAAGCTCTACTATAAAAGTAATATCCACATAGTAACATGCAACTTTAGCAATACAGAGTCATATTAAATAAAAATAGTCTCTTCCCCAGTCCCTACATTCTCACTTCTCAGAAAGCAGATTTGATACAAATCTGGCTTTTCTGCTTGTAAACTCCACAATGGTAAATCTCTTTCTTTGTCTTTGTGCCATCATCCTTGGTGGAGTCTGGGAAAGTCCTTCATTTTTCTAGTACACGTTTCCTCTGTGAATCACCACCAATTTGCATGATACCTTCCTTCCTTCCTTCCTTCCTTCCTTCCTTCCTTCCTTCCTGTCCTTCCTGTCCTTCCAAGACAGGGTGTCTCTGTGTAACAACAGTACTGGCTGTCCTGGAGCTCCCTCTGTAGACCAGGCTGGAACTCACCTGCCTTTGCCTCCTGAGTACTGGACTTAAAGGTGTGCACCACCACCACCTGGCTCAATATTACTATTTCTAATCTCCCTTATGGCTAGTTATCTTCATAAACTTAAAAACATAAATGCCAGAATCTGTTTATAAACTTATGGTGGACTCTTGGTTCTTTATTAAGTATGGTAACAGCAGTGGAAGAGTACATTGAAGTTCTGGCCGAAATAACATTTTTTTTTTCTGTTGTTTTGTTTTTATGCAGCCTCTTTCCATAGCTCAGGCAGGCTTTGAACTCACTAAGTTGACCAGGCTGGCCTCAAACTTGCAGCAATCCTCCTGCCTTAGTTTCCAAGTACTGGGATTACTGGCATTTGCTAGTATGTTTGGCTGGGGAAAGAATTTAGAAGCCTCTAAAGATGTCTGCCAACTCACTGCAAGGTATTCAGGCTAACCTTAAAAACACACAGTGGAAATAAGCAAAGATCACTCTGTAGTTCTAGTAACACTCAAAATAGCTAATAACCTAAACGCATCAACAGGAGGAACAAAAAGGCTACTCTAATATTGTAAAAGAGAAAACAAGTGAATGAGAACCTCACACACAACATGACTCATTCATGTAACACTTAAAAACACAAATCACACAGACAATCCTCATTCTTGGAATCTGGTCTATTTCTATAAGTATAATAGAACGTAAAATTTCAGGTGGCAAAACCTACATATTATTGAAAACAGGAAAAATTATACTGTGTCCTTAACTCATCCCAAACTTTCCTATCCTGCAAACCATTTAAATACTATTAAATACCCACATAATTGTCTACCTGCTTTAAGCCCTACAAAACTGAGAATACTGCAAGGATTTTCAAACGACACTATACAATATGCACTCTTCCCATTTGTGCATGCACTAAGGTCAACAGGCCTTAGTGTGGCATTTCCTTTGGATGTAAAGACTGCCTTTGCACTGAGGTCCCCCTGCATCTTCATGGACATTTCTACATGCCACAGGGCATGCCAAGTAGTGTAACAATATGGCACAACACATACACAACTTAAGCAGACAGGTGCCAAGTCTCCTGAGGAAGGGCTGAGATATGACTTGTCCTCTCAGTAGCCGCCTCCTCCTCAGACTCCCTCAGACGAGTGCCTAGCCGACAACTCTCATGGTGTGCAAGAAAGGCTCATGACAGTGGTTTTAATTCATCTAAATCACTTAAAATTTTCAAGTTACCACAACAAGTATGACAAGCCTTCCGACAGTCAGTGAAGAAGCAGACAGATGACCCTAGTCCCCAACCATCTCAGTGTTTCTAGCGCTGGAATCTTCTAAGCAGGTCCCAGACACCGTGGAGCAAAATTAAACTTTCTTCTTGAACAGGCAAATTCATAAAACCAACGCTGACAACACTATTTCTAAAAGTCTCTCCATAGAGAAAACAGGATCACTGACAGGTGGGAACAGATATAAAGTCAGTTTTGGTTTCAGAAAAGTCTTTGTCAAAACCAGCCATCCTATTTAACTGTTTCCAGTGCAGGCTGCAGTTCATTTATAGTACCACCTATTACAGAGTGGAGAGCCCACGGCTGAGGATGTGAAATCTTCCAGAACCACAATGCCTCTGAAGCAGCAAGAGAACAAGTTAAATTAAGTTCCGGTCATACTGCTAGTAGAAAAACATTGTTATGGGGCTGGAGAGACAGCTCAGTGGTTAAGAGCACTGGCTGCTTTTCCAGAGGACCTGGGGTTCAATTCCCAGCATCTACATGGCAGCTCACACTGTCTGTAACTGCAAGATCTGATATCTTCACACAAACATACATGCAGGCAAAACACCAATGTATATAAAAACAAATGAATTTAAAATTTTTTAAATGTTAATCTTGTTTGTTTTTGCTTATGAGCCAGGCCTCAAGATACATAGCTGAGGATTACCCTGAATAATTAATCCTCTTGTCTCTGCCTCCCAAGTGCCAAGATTACAGACTTGTGTTACAATGTCCCATCCTTGAAAAGACTTTTAAAAAAGTAAAAATAGCAAAAACAAATTACCCTCATTTCATAGTAACTGATCAATACTGCCCTCTGGTGATACATATTAATAGACAAGGCAACATCCTTTATTGTTAATTTGTTCTGTTTAAGTAACTGCATCTCTTTTGAATGCACATCCCACCAATGACAAAAATAGATTTAAGATAACCTTCATTATGTATTGTTTATTAAATTAGAAACTTTAAAAAGGTTTTAAATCAAGGACATTTACTCTGGAAACATACTATTGCTGATACACATATCACTATGTAGTGAATTACATTTCCACATAAAAAGATGAGACTAAGAAAGACCCTGAAGGGAAATGTCCTAAATTAAAAGCACAGTAAGACAGCAAGGAAAGTCACATCCTGTGTAAAGCAGGAGAGGTGGTGGTGGTATACACCTTTAGTCCCAGCACTTAGGAGGCAGAGGCTGTGAGTTCAAGGCTAGCCTGGTCTACATAGAATTCCAAGACAGCCAGGGCTATATAGATAGACCCTGTCTCAAAATAAAACAAACAAACAAATTCCACAGGAGGGAGCCTGTTCCCGAGGCGTACGTATCTAACACATAGAAAGAGTCTATGGAAACCAAAGTCTCACAGTGGGCTCCATTGGAAACCTGACTCCTAATTTAGGAAACACCTCAACCAAAGATCACAGTTGGCTGCTAAGTTTCTACTAAGCCAAGAAATGCTTCCTGAAAAAGACCTACCAAGGCTGGTGCCATCCTGCCCCATGATGCACTTCATGGAGGTGATGATCTGCTCCATCACAGGTGGTGACATTGACGTGGCATACACAGCACTGTGAGAATGTGTGCGCAGGTAGTCTATCAGCGCCTGCGGAAGCAGAGGCAGATATTTAGAGGCAGTTCCTGAGCACGCAGTTATACAAGTGCTTTCCTTCTAGGTGCTACTGGGCTCTTCCACTCAAAGGCCTGGAGCAGGGTGCTAAGCAGAGCCTCAAAATCAACCAACACCATCACAGCTCACAGCTGCCCAACAAGGATGTCAGAAACAGCAAAGTCTTGGGTTTTGCTTTGTTTTCAAATTCATTTTTAAAGAATCATTCTAAATTTGAAGAACAAATCATTTGATGTTACAGATTAGTACACAAAGATGAACTAAGAAAGTGCTGAACTGCCTTTTGAGATATAATGATTCATTTTTACATGTCTACCCTAAACATACACAGTCATGCTTATATCCTAAGTAACAATTTTCCTGAGCTGGGAGTGCATCACTCAGTTGTGTAGCAAACCTTGGCAGGTGTGAGGGCCCTGAGTTCAATCTGTAGCACTCCACCCTTCCCAATATTCTTCAGAAAGAGATTCATAAATTGGCAGAAATTCATTAAGTCATTAAAATATTATCACTGAGTAAAATAAATTAATCATTCTCATCAGGATGATTAAAAAACACACACAACTGATTTTATATCAGCTTTGATTGTTTTCCTGTACCTTTTAATACCGAGTATTTTGCCTGCACATGTGTATGTGTACCAAGTGTGTCTGTGTGATCCTCTACACTCTGGAACTGGAGTTACAGCTGTCTGGTAACCAACATGTGGGTGCTGGGAACTGAACCCAGATCCTCTCCAAGAACAACAGGAGCTTTTAGCTGCTAAGCCAATTCTCTAGATCCTCATTTAAATCATTTCTGGGTTGTTTTGTTTTTTTCAAGACAGGATTTCTCTGACCATCCTAGAACTAAATCTGTAGATCAAGTTGGCCTCAAATTCAGACATCCACCTGCTGAGATTAAAGTCGTGCACCACCACCACCACCAGAGCAAATCTTTCAAAATAAAATATGCACGAGAATCTGGTATATTATTAGGTGTGATATTACATGCTTATAACTCTAATTTCGGGATGATTAGGCAGGATTGCAAGTCTAAGGCTAGTCTGGGTTACAAAGTGAGACTATGTCATAAGTGAAGAGGAGCAAGCAGCAGCATATGTACCAGAAACAGTAAAAAGACACAAAATATAACCATGAAGTAGGCTGGTGCTTCTAAAGCTCTCAAAATTGTACACTAAAGCACAAATATGTTATATCAATACAGAAATGACACTCTGTATGACTTATTATCCTTTAATTCATAACAATATATCTTATTAAAAATTAGTTAACTTCCAAAGCTAGCTTTTCTAATTAATAAAAAGGTAAAAATTGATTATGAAATTTATCAAACCTGATTAGAAGCAACTGAAAATGGGTCTTTCTGCTGGGTGGTGGTGTAGGCCTTTAATCCCAGCACTTGAGAGGCAGAGGTAGGTGGATCTCTATGAGTTAGAAGCCAGCTTGGTCTACAGAGTGAGTTCCAGGATTACACAGAGAAACCCTGTCTCAAAACCCACCTCCACCCCACCCCACCCCACCATCCCACAAAAAAAAAAAAAAGGAAGAAAATGGGTCTTTCTAAAGGCAACCAATTATTAGAAGAATGTCTTTATTCAGTCATCAGTGTCCTAGCTGGAATGAACAGACATTTGTTCAAGTCTTCCCAGGACAAGTATACAACAGAGAGGTAACTGGATGTACAACTCTAGCAGAATTTACTAGAACAATCCCAGGTAGTTAGACTGAGGCTAATGCCTAATAAGAGTAGAAGTGTTTTTTGTGAGGACTATGAATGATGCCTGCAGATATACACCACACACAAATAAAACTGAAGTGCGCGCAAGTGTTATGAAATGTTTCCTGTAGTAAATGGCTTTTCCACACACACTTCAATTCACAGCAAGACTGCAAGAGACACCTAAACATAGAAGAGAAGAGTACTGATGCCAGGCAGTGGCGCACACCTTTAATCCCAGCACTCAGGAGGCAGAGGCAGGTGGAGCTCTCTGTGAGTTCAAGGCCAGCCTGGTCTACAGAATGAATTCCAGGACCAGTCAGGGCTACACAGACAAACCCTGTTTTGAAAAACCAAAACCAAACACAAACAAGATGGTCACGATATTTTCCTTACTTAAAGGCTTCCACAATTTCTTGATCAGGTCATCCTACAAAGTCTAACTGAAGTCTGTTTCAAAGCTAACTTGGGAAGTTCTGCTTCTGAGGTGATCTGACTAGTCTATTCATTCTAACCAACAAATACCTGTAAGTATTGAACAATGTGACATTAAGAAAGGACAGAACCTGGTATCAGGTCACAGATTCCTCTCTCATGCATGGCCCCCTTTTCAGTAACACCATCTTTCATGTAGAATTGGTCCGTAACTGCTGGGTCCATCCCACTCATCAAAATTTCCAGGGTTTCTTCTGGCTGCCTGATTGCCCAAATCTGGTAAATGGAAAGTGTACAAGTAACTGTGGCCAGAAATTATGCACCCCATAATCTATTTGAGAAAACTGTTACCACATAATTCCATTTCCCCCTGGAAATTCTGGATGTAGGTACTCTTGACAACAAGGTTTCATGAAATTTTTTTAATTGAATGAAACCCACTGTAATCATTGTAAGGGGAACTGGCTGATATCACATGCCTTCAAAACAAAGCATTTCTTGCAGATAAACATGCTATTTTTAATGAATACACAAACTTCTTGCTTCCTGCTTGTTGGTTTGTGTCAGTATCAGCAGTACATATCCTTCCAAAGCATTCCACTTATGACCTAGGGTGGCACAAGGATCCTCAGACCCCTGGTCTATGCTGCACTGCTGTCAGAGAACCAAACCCCTAGCAGATTCCTGGTCCCTAGTGAGTATCCAACAACCACAGAAAACGAATTAAACTAAATCTCTTTTCCTACTAGTACTTCTGTGGGTTGTTCAAGTTTTGTTACAAAACTTCAGTTTCCTCTAACTACAATTTTATGTTAACTTTTTAAAAAGAGTAATAAAAGTGTCCTGACTTTTGTTACTGTTGGGAGTTAATGCTAAACATATGCCTGTTGGTAGCAGAGGCAAATATAGTACCCTTTCTTGTCAGGCCTGGTGATAGCCCTGGACTTTCCCATCAGGGTAGGAAAAGCACTACTTAATGACCACTGCTACACTGTATACATTGAGAATGACTATTCTTTAATGTTCCAATTGTTTAGTTCTAAGAAAAAATTCAGAGTATTTATGAGCACTTACCATATGAGTGCTTGGCATACATTTCTTTTTTTCTTTTTTTTTAATTTTTTAAAAAATTTATTTTTCTTTTTTTAATAATTTTTTAATTTAAACTAAAAACAATCTTATTTTACATACCAATCTCAGTTCCCTCTTCCTCCCATCCACCCATGCCTCCCAACTACCCCCCCATCCACTCCCCAGGGAGGTTGAGGCCTCCCATCAGGACCCATCCAAGTCTGTCACATCATTTGGAGCAGGGCCTAGGCCTCCCCCATGTATCTAGGCTGAGAGAGTATCCCTCCATAGGCAATGGCCTCCCAAAGTGCATTCATGCACTAGGAATAAATACTGGTTCTACTGCCAGAGGCCTCATAGACTTCCCTGGTCTCTCAACCAACACCCACGTTCAGAGGGCCTGGTTCAGTCTTATGCTGGTTCCCCAGCTATCAGACTGAGGTCCATGAACTCCCACTTGCTCAGGTCAACTGTTTCTATGTGCTTCCCCAGCATAGTCTTGAACCCTTTGCTCATCCCTCCTCCCTCTCTTCAACTGGATCCCAGGAGTTTGGCTCAGTGTTTAGCTGTGGGTGTGTCTGCTTCTGCTTCCATCAGCTACTGGGTGAAGGCTCTAGGATAGCATTTAAGGTAGTCATCAACCTCATTATAGGGGAAGGACATTTAAGATAGCTTCTCTACTATTGCTTAGATTCTTAGTTGGGGTCATCCTTGTGGATCCCTGGACATTTCCCTAGTGCCTGATTTCTTTTTAAACCTTTAATGGCTTCCTCTATTAAGGCATCTCTTTTCTTGCTCTCCTCTATTCTTCCCTTGACTCTATCTTCCTGATTCCTTATGTTCTCCTCCTTCCTATCCCTCCCCCTCTTATGCTCCCAATTTGCTCAGGAGATCTTGTTCCTTTCCCATTCTCCAGGGAACCCTGTATCAAGGCTGACCAAGGTATTCCACCATAGGGAATGGGCTCCAAAAAGTCAGTTCATGTATCTGGGATAGGTCCTGGTGCACTGCCGGGGAACCCCCTCCAACAGATCAAGTTACATAACTGTCACCCACATTCAGAGGGTCTAGTTCAGTCCCCTGAACTAGGTTCCCCAGCTATCAGTCCACAGTCTGTGAACTCCCACTAGCTCAGATCAGCTGTGGTTTTCCCTTTCATGCTCTTGACCCCATGCTCATATGATCCCTCCTCCCTCTCTTCAAATGAACTCCAGGAGCTCAGCCCAGTGCTTGGCTTCCATCAGTTATTAGATGTAGGTTCTATGATGACAATTAGAGTAGTCACTAATCTGATTAAAGAGGAAGGCCTGTTCAGATACCCTCTCCACTATTACTAGGAGTCTTAGCTGGGGTCATCCTTGAGGATTCCTGAGAACACACAATCATACCACAAGGACATTTGCTCAACTATGTTCATAGAAGCATTATTTGTAATAGCCAGAACCTGGAAACAACCCAGATGCCCACCAACCAAAGAAAGGATAAAGAAAATGTGGTATATTTACACGATGGAGTATTACACTGACATCTTGAAATTTGCAGGCAAATGGATGAAACTAGGAAAAAACTATCCTTGAGTGAGGTAACCCAGACCCAGAAAGACAAACATAGTATGTACTCACTCATAAGTGGATATTAGATGTAAAGCAAAGGATAACCAGGCTACAATCCATAACCCCAGAGAAGATAGGTAAAAAGGAGGACCCTAAGAGGGACATACATGGAAGGCCCCAGGAAGGGAAAATAGTTAAGATCTCCTGTGTAAACTGGGAGAGGATAGAAGGGAGGGGGTGGGGATGGGAATATGAGGGATCAGGAAGACCCCAAGAAGGGTAGGGATGGAAGGGGGAGAGCAATGAAAGATATCTTGATAGAGGGAGCCATTATGGGGTTAGGGAGAAATCTGGTGCTAGACAAATTCTCAGGCACACATTTCTTAATAATGTTACAAGTTTTTTTTTCCTTTTCCGTCTAAGAGTCAAACTGAGGTCAGAACACATGTCAGCCAGCTCTTCACTACAGAATTATAGGCCTGGCCAAGTTCTTTTCTAGCCAATAGCTTTATGGAAACATAAGTCACATTCCACCATTGTCAGCTTTGTAAAGTGTACAATTCAATGGATTTTGGCATAGAGTGGTGCAACCCTTACCATGACCTAATTTTAGAATATTTTCATCATCCTACAAGGAACACATCGGATCCATTAATGGTTATTTTCCATTTCCCCATCTCCTTAACCCCTGGCAACTACTAATCCACATTCAGTTTCAATACCTACTCTAGATAAAACAAAAGAAGACCATTATATAATATAAGCTTTTGTGACTCACTTCAGTTACCATGTCTGCAAAATGCATCTGTGTTGCAGCATAGGCACACATCATTTTAAACTATTACCACATTACAAGTCCCCCCCCATTTACTTTTACTGATGAGGACACTAAATAGTTAAAAATGCCTTCCCCAAGGTTTCACAAAACAAAAACACATTCAAATGCAGACAATACACATGATTTTGAATAGATTTTTTTCTTTCTTTCTTTCTAGACAGGGTTTCTCTGTGTACTTGCATGGATTCTTAATTGCCTTAGAGGTCATATATAATTTTAAAGGTGAAAAATAGGCTTTACAGTACACCAGTGCTAACAAAACCTTCTCTTGTTTGTGGATTCTGATCTTCCATTCCCATTGGCTCCTGCGACAACCCTCTGAAAGTGTGAGCACAACTCAAACCCAACAGAAGACTGTGTGGCAAACAGGAAGCACCACTGTGCACTCTTTTACAAAAGAGTATTCTATATTTCAGACCAGAATGTAGTTTAGAAAGAAGCTCAAATGAGCAAACAACAAACAATGAACAGAACCAGCCTTCAGCTCAGCAAGAGATAGCAGAGTCACTCCCCAGGCATCTGAAGTAGGAAGTCTACCAGCACTAGAACATGAGCCACAAGCACATCCAGGATCCCCAAATCCCATTTCAGGACCCATCTACTTCTAGGAAGGTCCCATCTCTAATTGGCCACTCCAAAAGGGCTGCTTACCTTCTTGCCTCCAATGTATCCTCCAGAAGCACCAAAGCTCTTTGTGAATGTTCCCATCATAACATCTACATCCTCGGGATCCAAGCCAAAGTAGTCTACCACACCTCGCCCTGAAGGGCCAAGGGCCCCAATGCTGTGTGCCTCATCCAGATACAAGTATGCCTTGTACTTCTTCTTGAGAGCAATCACTTCAGGAAGGCGAACAATAGACCCTTCCATGCTAGCAAAACAGGGTTAAAAAAACACACAATGAGACTTTTTAACTCTCAAAATTAGCAACTGGCCACTTTGTTTTTAATGCTTTGAAAATTAAAAACCTGAAAATTCTACCTCTGGTTTTAAACTAGTTATGTGACTTGGCAGGAAACAGGAGGTTGACTTCTCAAGAGTAAGTGCTACATTGTAATTGGTTTTATTTCACAACAGAAAGAATTAAAGTTACAGAAGATTATTTCTGTTTGCTTTTGTGGGGCTAGGGGGTTAAAAAGGGGCTCTTGCATATGCTAGGAAAGTACTCTACCAGTGGGCCACATCTCCAGCCCACAAGAGTCTTCTAAAGCTTGCAATTACAAGTAACATTAGGCTCTGTGCTCATTATACATGCCTTGAGTTCCTGCCCAGGGATTTCTTCAGTGGATTGTGGCCTCGGACATGTAAGCCAAAGCCAAATAAACCCTTTCTATGCAAGCTTGCTTTTGGTCATGGTCTTCATCACAGCAATAGACATCTAAGGTAGGCTGTCCAATTAACAAAAGAAAAACATCTTAAAATTAAAATACAGCTTGGCATGGGGCATATGCCTGTAAATCCTAGTACCCAAGAGGCAGAGGCAGAATCAGGAGTTTAAGGTCAGTGTGGCTACATGAGACCATATCTCAAAAATAAATAAACAAATAAATAAATAAAAAATAAAATAATAGTAATAACAACAAAAAGTAACTTATTTTTAATTATTTTGATGTTATTTGTTTTGTTTGGTTTTGTTTTGCGGGGCTGGACATTGAACCCCAGGGCTCATGTATGCTAGATAAGAGCACAACCACTATGCTAGGGTCCTGCCATGTATTTGGAGGTCCCCAAATAGATGGTTCACCTGTCTCAGCCTTGTGAGTACTGGAATTACAGGTATGTACTCTCACATCTAGCTTTGTCATTTATTTTTGATAAATTAGAATCTTTTATATGTAAGCTTTTCATACACAGTAGAAAAAATAACCTCGATAGAAGAAGGATCTGGGAGCGGTGTACTATACAGACTTAAAGACCTTTGGGCTCAGTGCCTCCTGTTTTCAGGTATTTAACAAGTCATGAACACTGTCTCCTTAGTTTCTAGAGCGGACTTGTCTAGCCAGCCCTTGAGCTGAAAGCTTACATGTCTTTACAGGCCTAGGCCATATATAAGCGCAATAGAGAGAGAGTACCTATATATGCCTTCCACAAGGATTAGGATTTTCTTCCAGGGCCTTCTTGTCCGAGGTTGACCATAAACAATGGCATCTTTCAAAAGCTTCTCCAAGCTTTGCATATCTATGGCACAAAGAAAGAATTCAGTCCTAAAGTATCTTTTTTCCTAACAGTATTAGAAAAATGAGAATATACATTTCTTATTCAGAAGTATCTCAGATAGCAAAGGACATTAGCATAATTAGAGATGAGAAGAAAAAATATTAAGATATTACTTCATGCCGGGCATTGGTGGCGCACGCCTTTAATCCCAGCACTCGGGAGGCAGAGGCAGGCGGATCTCTGTGAGTTCGAGACCAGCCTGGCCTACAAGAGCTAGTTCCAAGACAGCCTCCAAAGCCACAGAGAAACCCTATCTCGAAAAAAACCAAAAAAAAAAAAAAAAAAAAAGATATTACTTCATTAATTGACATTTAAATATGCCAAATGTTCAAAGCTATCAACAAGATCAAATGACTGGTAACTATATTAGTTGGTTAGATAGAAAATTACTGTTTTTATGTTAAACTCTCAGCCTCTGAATGAGCTTTTTTGTGTTTTTAAAAATCAAACTGCATCTTTAATTCAAGTGATTCATCTAGAAACAAGTGTATAAAGACCAAACAAGAGTAAATAAAATACATGTTCCTCTTAAAAAGCAAATATGCATGGACCTGGAGAGACTGCTTATGGTTTTAGAGCACTTATTGTTCTTTCAAGGACCCAGGTTTCAAGGACCTGTGGATACTGGTAATCAAAAGTCTAGTTCCAAGGGATCTAATGTTCTCTTCTGACCTCTGTGACCACCAAGCATGTACATGCAGGTAAAACACTCACACATAAGTCAAAACAAATACATCTTTTAAAAAAAGTAATCACGGAGAAAGAACTTCAAAGTGCATGATCTATTTTCTTTTACCCAGGATGCAATCAATAGATGCTATTAAACAGCCTTCTCTTTGTACTGGTTAAAAATATTCCACTCATGCTGGGAGGTGGTGGCAAACACCTTTAATCCCAGCATAAGTGAGGCAGAGGCAGGTGAATCTGTGAGTTCGAGGCCAGCCTGGTTTACAAGAGCAAGTTCCAGAGCAGGCTCCAAAGCTACAGAGAAACCTTGTCTCGAAAATAATAATAATAATAATAATAATAATAATAATAATGATTTATAGATAGACAGACAGACAGAAAGATGCATTCCAGTCTGGGACATGGATGAGTCTAAGCTTAAAAACAAACAAACAAAATAATGATTTACAGACAGATGATAGACAGACAGACAGACAGGTACACTCCAGTCTGGGACATGGATGAGTCTAAGCTTAAGCCAGCTTGGCAATCAGTTGAGACTGTTCCATGTTCACTTCATCAGATGCACTGTTGAAAGACAGTGTTTGGGGCTATCATTAATAAGGACCACAATTTTCCTCTGGAATGCTTTGAACTCCATTGGTTCCATCTCTATAGATTTTATACTCAAATAATTTGAATGATATTTGAAAAAACTTCTCCCTAAAAATCTAAGCAACAATAAGTCTGAGGTATATGTCAAGCTAGTGGAAGACCCTACACTATAAGCTTTGATTCTGTGTTCCTTTAACTGCTTGTTATTGAAAGAGGGGGTCAAAATTGCACTACTTTGTCCTTATAATTGAACTTTGATAGGAAAGGGAAATAATGTGATAAAAACACACAGCAGGATGACCAAAGGTCACAGCTGTGTCACACCTTTCAGTAAATGCAACATAGAAATCAGTATACTGCTTGACGGGAAACAGGCAGCACTCTCCAGAGCAGTAAACCTGCCTGACCCAGAGCAGGAGACAAGTAAGTCTGTACTCACTGTTGTTGTTTCCTATGTTTATATACAGAAAGGAGACAGAATGTAAACAGTGGTTCAACATTTTAGACAAAGATAACAGGAAAAGAAAGCTGACTATAGTAGTGCACAGCTGCAATCCTAGGACACAGGAGGTTGAAACAGGAGAACAGCCTAGGCTGTATGGTAAGCTCCAGGCTAGCCAGGGCTACACAATAAGACACTGTCTCAAAAAACAAGCAAGCAGCAACAGTGAAAAGTCTACAAACTTTAGACAAAGGGAACTATCTATAACAAGAATGCTTGGGCAGATTACCTACTTAGGAAAACTATTTCCATCTTTCTTTCATCATATACCCTATAAATTCCATGTAAATTAAAATTTACATATGCCATTAAATTCCCACAGGAAAATGTGAGAACATTTTCCCCCTTAATGAAGAAGCATTAAATACAATCTAAAAGTCAAAGACATTTTGATGAGTCAAAATAATAAGACATTTAAATAAAAATAGTGCAACATAAGATACCAATAAAAAGACATCAGCTTGAGAATGATCAGCTTATAAAGAAACATCTACAAATACAATAGCTGCATAAAAAATTGCTCTACACCTAAAAAAGAAATAAGACCCCAAATATTGTGTCCTTATTAGGTTCAGAATGATTTAAAATGATACATAATAAGCCATGCTGGTGAGTGAGAACAAGTGGCCAATGCCACATTATCTGGAAAGGTATTAAAAATGTACACCCTTTTTCACTGGGCACTCTGAGGCTGCTCAACATCAGTCAGATGATCTTGCAAATATGTGAGTGGAGTACTGTTTCTAGTTTAAAAGCGGAACAATGGTGTGTCTAGACACATGACACTTAAGGATAAGAAGAGTCAGAGGTATGGACAAGAGGTTAAAAGTTTCACAATGAAAAGGTCTCAATCACAACAACACACTGTTCCAATCTCACTGTAGAACATTTTACATAAGATAAAACAGAAAAAGAATTAAGTTATTGTCATCCAATCCTTCCAGAGGTACAGACCTAATATTTTGGTCTATATTATTCTACAGTTTCATCTATATACAGTTTGGCAAAAGAAGATATTTAAAATACAACTGGGTGATCTTTCTCCTTATATGTGTTTTAAATTATGAAAACTATGGTTTTTATAAGTTTTTTTATAAGATTGTGATTTCTGCACTTTAATTTTTCAAAACTATTATTTATGCACTTTAAAAACAGCGCACAAAGGTATTTCCACTTAAGGAACAAGTTTTAGCTTTAAGATACCATTCCCTAACATCTCTGTATATTACTGCACAGAACATTTGTCTGACCTTGTTTTTCTTGTACATGTGTACATAAGCATGTGTGTGGTATGTGTGTATATATATTTGTGGATATTCATACATGTGCAGGTACACATGCATATGTAGGTATTTGTAGAGTCCAAAGGCTGATGTCATGTGTCTTTCTCAATCGTACTCCACCTTATTTTTTGAGACATTGTCTCCCCTGAACCTCATGAATTGAGCCAGATTAGCTAGCTCCGAAGATCTTCTGGCCTCCATCTCCTGGTGCTGAGATTATAGGTATGAGGTTACATGCCCATTTTTTCTGAGTGCTGAGAATCTGAACTCAGGTTTTCACACCTGTATGGCAGACACCTTATAAAATGAACCATCTCCCCAAATACTGTCTGTTGTACCTTTAATTTTTTTTAATGCAAACAGCAAGAAGTTTTATTCAGCAACCGGCTTGCTGGGGTCCAGCACATTACTCATGCAGGAGCAGAGGAGCTGGACCCCGAGCTGGGGTCTAGGGGCTTCTTAAAGGCAAAAACTGCAAACGGATGGGGTCTGGGGTGAGCGAGGGTAACAGTTCTGATTGGCCTGTTCCAGGTAGCTGACCGCAATCTCCGGGCTTATGGGTCGTTCAGGGCAGTTACATCTCTATCTCTGGGAACCGTTTGCCAGGGTGGAATTCCTCAACCTTAACGGTCCTTTCCTGTTAAGGTCATAAATTCAGGTTCTCACGTATTTGCAAAGAAAATATCTTAGGCTGGGGTCCATCAGGATCTCATTGCATGGCGGGCAAATGAGATACCACCCAGCCAAAAAGAGAAGCTTTTAAAAGGGAGAGACCATAAGGTTGGAGGCCACAAATTACAGAGTTTCCATGGTTACTTAAGGTCATACAAAGTACAGAGTTAGTAACTATACTTTTTTTTTTCTCCTCACAATTTTGTGATGGTTTTAATTTGCTATCTTCTAAACACTCATTACACACAAACCCATTAGGATGCAAAATGAATCATATCTACTTGAAGCACCTGTGCACAAGCAAACAGTACAAGATGTTGGCTGATCAATGTTTTTTTTTTCTTTTTCTTTTTAATTTAAATTAGAAAGAAGCTTCATTTACATGTCAATCCCCATTCCCTCTCCCTCCCCTCCTTCCCTGCCCCCCCCACTAACACCCTATCCAATACCATTTCTACTCCCCAGTGAGAGTGAGGCCTTCCATGGGTGTCTTCAGAGTCTGCCATAATCCTTTGGGATTAATATTTATTTTTATTATTAATTATGAGTGCATATGTCTGCATGAGTGCAAATTTCTGTAGAGGTCAGAAGAGGGTGTCAAATCCCCTAGATCTGGAGTCACACATACTTGTGAGCAGCCTTAAGTGGGTAATGGGAAGCAAACTCAGGTCCTCTGTAAAAGTTGCACGCACTCTTTAACTACTGAGCTATCGTTCCAGCCCCAAACTTTTCGTGTGTGTGTGTGCGCGCGTGTGCGCGTATATGTGTGATGAGAGGAGGAGAAGGCTCATTCCACAGCACAACTGTAGGGTAAGAAGACAACTTTATGAAGTCAGTTCTCTGTCACACAGATACTGTTTACCTGCTGAGTATCTTGCTAGTCCCATCTGTTATATTTTATTTAATTGTTTGACTATTAACATCTCTTCACTAATCTTATTTACTCCTCCTAGTGTTATAACAAGACACACTATAGGTATCCAGTAAATGTATTTGAACAAAGATTTGTAAACAAGGAAATAAGATGAAAAACTTAAAAGTCAAATCAAGGGAAGGAGTATAATTTGCACAAAGGAATCCTATCACCATTTCACCACCACTATCCCAAAGAATATCAAACATTAAAGCCAATGGCAAAGCCTAGGAGTAACTAACTCACTGTTATGCTTGAAGATTCGAATGGTTGCTCCCGACAGTCTGGCTCCTAGAACCAGTGATGCATGGTTCAGTTCATCACTCAGAATCAGGCAACCCTGCAAAATCACAAGCACAGGAAGTTAAGATACCAAAATCACTAGCACAGGAAGGTAAGATACTAACAAATGTTGGTGATTACTGTTTTTCAAAGATACTTTAGAAACACATGCAGAATTCTAGCCTATACATAATAGTTTCTTCATCTTGTCATTTTAAATATCCAGATAAATAGCAACATGTTCTTATTTAAACCTAAAATCTAGCAGTCTTTAAAAGGTTCCGGTATCTTTGAGAGAATTTTGATGTATCAGTTTTGTTAAAAATGGCGGCTATAAAAATAGTGCTTTTTCCTTCACTATTAACATGTCTCAGTTCAGGGAAGAACCTATTTATAAGCCCCAATCACATAGTATACAGGCTGTGGTTTAGCCTCTTAGAATCCCCAAACACACTTTAACACAAATTAAGGAGAGAGCAAAGCCTGACATCCTTGGTGGTTTATTTCTTACTCTTCCATCCCTCATGGGACCCTGCTAAAACAGAAACTGCGAAACAGGTTTTTGTCTTTCAAAAATGGCCTCAACGGGGATACAGGTATTATAAAGCTCAGTGGTAGAGAGTATTTGCCTAGCATGTACAAGGCCTTAGGTTGGATCTCTGACACTACAATTAACAAATGAGCAAATAAATAAGTAAATTTCCACATGGAAATCATTTCAAAATACCCCACTGGTCCAAACAAAAACAACTTAATCAATAAAAGAAAGTATTCATAGCCAGGAATGTGGTGATATCTTGTTTATATCTAACAAATAAACCTTGCCTGACGATGAGAGGGCAGAGCTAGCCACTAGTTAACCATAGTCTGGAGGTCTGTACAGACAGATAGGAAGTGATAAGGCTGGGTGGAGAGAGGAATATAAGGTGGAAGGAGGCAGGAGCTTGGCCTCTGTTTTCTGTCTAAGGATTTTGTAGAGATAAGAATTCTAGTGGCTGGCTGCTTTGCTTTTCTGATCTTTTAGCTTTTACCCTCTAGTATCTGACTCAGGGTTTTTATTATTAAGACCAATTAGATCTCTGAATTTGAGGCCATCCTGGTCTACAAAGTGAGTTCCAGGACAGTCAGGGCGACACAGAGAAACACAGTCTCAAAAAAACAAAAACAAAAACAAAAAAACACAAGACACTAATGTTGGTATCCCAAATAATGAGATACTCATGAGTCCATATAGATATAAAGAAGGAACAACTCCATAAAACTCCAATGAATAAATATAGAACCAATGAGAAAAATTACTCTAAGACTACCAAAGCATTTAACAGTCACTGATTATACATATCCACACTAAAATTAGTGTATTAAAGTTTAATAAAAAAATAACAGTTACATAGCCTGAAGTTTCTCTGCCATGGTAATTGGTAAGTTAGAGTAGAAAGTCTTGCCTGATATCTTAGCCAACAAATCAGAGTTTGTTTATATTAGTACATATATTGGTGCCATGTATCTTATGCAACACACTGAGTTGAATGTCATTTCCATAATACACACCACCAGTTGTGACCACTGATGCGGAGAGACATTCTACAAAATAGGGGCCAGCCAGAGCGTAGAAGCCAGGAAGTACACAGGAAAAGACTGGGAGCTACAAGTAAATGAATATGGAGCCTCAACAGAGGCTAGACTGGACACGTCCAATAGCAGACATGAAGTATGTTCTGCATTTGTCAGTGTGCTGCGTAACAGTTAACTTCTGAGCTTTGGGAAATGCTGCACTGGTAAGTAAGATGCTATCATAGAGGGACTCCACACCCTCTGTAGCTCTTCCGTAAGTCTAAATTGAAAACACCGGGAGAAGAGCGGTAGGATCACTCTTTTGTAAGCCATCAGAGTCGCTACTTACCATGCAAGGCTCTAATGTACCTTAAAAGCATTCTCCCAACACATATAATTCAATTTCCGTCTCTTTCCACATAATTTATTTTTCAGGCAAAATTTGCAAGGCTGTTTTTCAGATCCTCTAGTCAACATTTTTAGGTATCAGTTTGGCTTTTTTCTTTTGTCTACTGTGAGGTTCTATTACATAGTTGGTTTAAAAATAAATTGAATATGAAATATTAGGAGGAGACATCTAAGTGCATATGCTTTAGGCAGTTTGGTAAGGGTTTTAAGTCATTATTTTGTTATATCGCATGAAATAGGTATTAGTATCATCTTCAGCTTACAAAGAGAAGTCACTCTTATCCACACACGAGTGGAAGAGACTCAACACAAAGCTCCTGATTTTAGATTGTGTGTTCTATCGGCCTTTAAGATGAACAACCAATAAGTTTGGAGAGATTCAGGATCGGATTCAAAGTTACTACCCTTAAGAGATCAAACAATAGTTACTACCATTTCAACGATAATTTGGAAGATTAATCTTTAAGTTAGTCCCTTTCATATTAGTACAGGAGAAATCCAAGTCTAAACAATGATTTACTAGAGATCAAGAGGACCAGAAGTGTAATGTGACATGTTCACTGTCATGGATAAGTTTGACCATATAATCAACAGACAAGCAAAACCCAAGTCTGAGGTAATCCACTGCTTCTGTGAATGTGCTATTACTAAACATGCACACAAACAACGGAGAAAACAACTTCAGGGGTTCTGTTCAAGCTGACAGTGCTGAGCAGCTCCATTCAGAAAGCATTTTACCTCTCCTTAATTGATCTCTCACAAGTTCTATCATAAAATGGATATGCAGAGATATAGATACACGCACGCACGCACGCACGCACACACACACACACACACACACACACACACACACACACACACACACACACACACACACGAGAGTATATTTAACTTAGCTATATTATCAAGGTAAATGCGCTTTCTTATTTTTATACTTAGACAAACCATAAACTTTCTGAATTAAACATTTCATAATTTTAATCTTTTGACTTTTTTTTATCAGAATTCCTTGAAAATTGAACAAGAGGGAAGGACCATGGGTTCTAAGAGAAAAATAACTGGTATTGGCTCTGCAAGACATACTTGCCAAAAATCTGTGATAAGAGCATCTTTGGAAATTGTGCTCGGTCTAATGTTAATAATACCTCAACTGGATCTTAATGTGCTTATCAAAACAAAACAACATATATATAGGAGAACTGCCACAAATGATGCCTTCTTACTTTGCCAACAAGAGCAGGAATGTTCATTGAATTTGTTGCAAATCCCATGCCATAAGTCATAGCAGCTTCCACACCCAAAAACCTTGCTACCAGTTTCTCCAGTTCTTCGTGCTTGTCCAGGTTTCCTGTATGAAGAAGTCAATTAACAAAATCAGTATCAACCTCAATTTTAAAATTACTACTTTATTAAGAGAAAACAGGGCCAGCAAGATGGATCAGTGGATAAAATCACTTGCTGCCAAGCCTGACCACCTGAGTTGAATCCCTGGAATGAACATGGCAGATGCAGAGAACCAACTCCTGAGAGTTGTCCTCTGACCCACACCACAGATACACATGATGCACACAACTGTAATAATATTTTTAGCAGGGTGGTGGATGGTACACGCCTTTAATCCCAGCACTCCAGAGACAGAGGCAGGAGGATCTCTGTGAATTCGAGGCCAGCCTGGTCTACAAAGTGAGTTCCATGACAGCCAGAGCTGTTACACAGAGAGACCCTGTCTCAAAAAACCAAAAACAAATAATGAAGATTACTAACTCATGTTTTCACATTCTAGTCTCAGATCTAAGCCCTAAACAATCTAACAAAGTTTGCGTCCACATTTTTTAAATCATCAGTCCTACAAAACAGTGTAACTGATCTGTTCTAGAGAGAGGTAAACACTGGAGGATAAGCAACAAGATAGTAAAATGCTGCTGGTCAGCTAAGGTGCCAGCTGTGCCCATTACACCATCCATCCAATGGCACACTTGAAACCACTAGGAGTGCAATTATTCTCACTTTCAAATGACTGTTAGGTTTTCACTATGACTATCACAGTGGCTTTCAAATCCCTAATGACAGAATGATTTGCAAAGAGAACAGATACTGAAAAAAGGAGATTGTTGAACTTGAATGATATGCATTATTAAGACTTTGACAAATTTCTCATCTGTTGAACACCAACAATACTCCCTTATCTATCTCATGATGTTGTTATAAGGATTATGTGTGTGTTGAAAAAAAAAAAAAAAAGAAAGCCAAGCAGTGGTGTCACACGCCTTTAATAACTCAGGAAGAGGCAGGCAGATCTCTGTGAGTTCGAGACCAGCCTGGTTTACAAGAGCTAGTTCAAGGCAGCCTCCAAAGCCACAAAGAAACCCTGTCTCGAAACCCCGCCTCCCAAGAAAAGATGATGGCTGGCACTTGACAAAATTTACAGTGCCATAAAGATACACAGTGCTCACTGAACCCCATCACTGTAGTTCTCTCTTGCCCACAGCACAGACCTAACAGCCTGTGATTTCTCAAGCTTCAGCTACAAAACTTAAAGATGGAGTTTAAAGATGGATTTTCATTGAGTGGGGCAGTGGTGGCACACGTCTTTAATCCCAGCACTCAGAAGGCAGAGGCAAGAGGATCTCTGTGAATTTGAGTTCAGCCTGGTCTACAGA